GCCAAGCACCCCGCCGAGCCCCGCCGAGACCACAGCCCGCCCGGCTTCCCCCGAGAGCACGGAAGAGGATAAAGACCTCGGCTCCCGCGGTGCATCCCGGCGCCGGGGCCCACGCGCAGTCCCCGCTGACCGGTGCCCATCACCCGGCCGCCACCCCTCGGGCTGCCCTCTGCCTAAGCAGCACCCCCTACCCGGCACGCGAGACCGCAAGCACAAAACCAGGCCTGATCCCCTCCTTCCCACGGAGGTGGGAGTTAGCTGCTCCGGGGAACGAGCTGGGATCTGGAGAACTGGGGAAACGCGCCCTGTCCCCGAGGGGAGCCCCTGGGTGCCCCCGGGCCGGAGACGGGGAAACGAGGTGTCTGTGGGGGGGTCCTGGAGGGGAGGCAGCAGACGGACAGCGCTGGCCGGGCGGGGGAGGGGGCGGCCGCGACGTGGAGCGTCCAGCAGAGCGGACAGCCGGAGCGGGGCGGGGAGCGGCCCGGCCGCTGGGTCTCGGGGAGGGTCCCCGGGGGCCGCACGTCCCCCACTCACTCACTCGGGTCTCGGCGGCGGCGGGGCGGCTGCTCCCTCCAGGGTGGTCCTGAGTGCGGGGCGGAGGTCGCGCTGCTTTCTCGGGTGCCGCCGGGCCGGGCTCAGATGTGGCTTTTTCGTCGTTACGGTTCTTTTTTTTGGGGGGGGGGGCAATGAGAGGGTTCGGGTTATGACTGTTAATAATAATTCTTTCAGTGTTTCGGAGGGCGGGCGGGCCGGCCGGCGGGGATGGCGGACCGGAGGATGGCTGGTGTTCGCGGCGGAGGGCGGTCCGGGCTGTGGCCGACGGCGGTGCTGCCCTTCCGGCCCCCGCGTCGCCCGAGCCGCTCGCTGGTCTCCGCCTACGACCCGCACCGTCCCGTGCCCCGGCCCGAAGTGAGCAAAGTCAATGAAAAGTTTCACCCTTAGCAACCCTGCGCACGGATCCGGCTTCCCCACCCCTGCGTGATGCGTCCCTCCGCCCTGCAGGGGCGGGGCCGGCGCCCGGCCGGGACTACTTCCCGGCTCGCGCCTGCGCGGAACCCCCTCGCGAGGCCCGAGGCGGGCGGCGCCCCCGCGGGCTGTCGGTGGTCGGCGCGTCCCAGCGCCGAGCCGCGGCCCCTCAGTTCGTGCCCCGAAGCCCCCTCTGAGCGCGTGCTCGGCACGGCGGCCGCGTCCCCAGGCTCACGGAGACCCCCGGGAGGGCCTCGCGGAGCGGGGGGCGGGGATCCCGGCCCCGCACCTGCCGCCGGTGCTCGGGTTCGCGTCCCCGCGCCCCAGTGTCTTGGCCGGTGGAGGAGTTGAGGGGCGGACGCGAACTCGAGCGGGGATCCGGGGTCTGGGGCACACAGTGCGGGCGGCGGCGCGGGGCTTGCGCCGCCTCCACGCCGACGCCCCCTTGGGAAGCCCGAGCCGGTGCCACATTTCTTCCGGCGACAGCCCGGCCGCCTGCGCAGGGGTCCCGGGCTTGGACATCCGCGGGCCCCTGGGGCGGCCGAGCCAGGCTCACCGAGCCCGGGACTGGACACACAATGCGGGCCCGCGCGCTCGGGCGCCCTGGCTCGGCTTTGGCCACGCACCCCTCTTTGTGACCGTGCGGGGCGCCTAGCCGGGGTCTGGGGGAGCGCGGGTGAGGTCACAGGCGGACTGGACCGCCGGACGGCGAGGCCCGGGGCCTTGCGCGTGGGACTTTCCTCCCTCGGCTGTCCAGCTGTCCTCTGCAACCTCTGCGATCGGTTCTGGTTCAGGGGTGGCGACCCCTGGGAGTTTCCGGCGAGGAACAGTTTGCACTTTTTCCCCCCGCGGCCACTTGTTCTCGGCAAGGCCAGAGGGCACCGGGAGCGTGGGGGCCTGGGCGGGAGCCCGAGCCGAGGGGCCCCACCCCCACGCCCCGCGTGTTCCAGCTCCACGGGCACCTCCAGGGACTACTTGCCTCGTGCGTCAGCCAGCGGCCGCGCGTCATACACACGCCCCCTCCACCTTGCCCTGGATCCCCGCCTCTCCGCCCCCCGCCGCCGGCGCGCTCCACCCGGGCTGGGAGACTCGGGCCCAGCCGGGTGGTGCCAAAGCGCTGAAAGCTAAAAATACACCCGGCATGTTAGCAACAGCCTTCCTATTGGTCAGAATGCAGGGAGGGGTGGCTTCTGATTGGGCTGTGGAAACGGCAGTGTGCGCTTGCGCAGTTTGGGCGCGGCCGAGCATGCTGGTATTTGTAGTCGCTGTCCAGAGGCCGCCGGTGACGCTGGCGGGTTCGCATCCCAGTTCTGCCACCTCCTGTGTGACCGTAACTTAAGGCAGCAAATCTTTTGTATTGCCAGACCTCGTTTTCCTTGTCTCTGAAATGGACATTCCTGTGGGGTGTAAATGCCCCGTCTGAGGATTCAGCCTGGCTCAAAGAATTCGCCCTTCTTGACTGGACGGTGACCGTCCTGGACGGCTTGCAGCCCCGTGTGCACCTCCCGGGGGGATGCCTTCCAGACAGGCGGCGGCGCGCCGTCCCCGGGGTGTCCCCGGGGTGTCCCCGGCCCCGCGCGCGCGCGGGCTGAGACCCTCTGAGTTTCTGCGCGTGTGTGCTCTTGTTCTGGCCCGGCAACAGAGCCCCAAATCCAGCCTCCTTGACAAACGGGGGCCCCGGATAAGGTGTTAGCGTATGAGCCGGAAAAAGATCAGAGGGGAGGAAAGAGGCAATCGCCGTTCTTAATTGCCGGCGACGGCTTTTCTCACGTGGCCGGGAGAGCCGGCCGCGTCTGGTCCACTTGCAGTGTGGTTGCATTTGGCTGGGGGCTGAACTCCCGCCCAGGCGCCCCAGAGCCCCCCCAGAGGGCGAGAGGAAGCCGGTGACCCCAGGTGTTTGGGTGCCCTGACCAGCCCCCATTAACTCATCTCTCCGCGCACAAGCACACGCGCGCGCACACACCCACCCCGGGGTGAGAAGCTTCGTTTCTTTGAAGTTATACGAGAAATCACTTTCTTATTGTGGTTCTTCGTCCCTTGTTCCAGCTGGGCAGAAGCAGAAGCAGCCGCCATGGCAGCTGGCTTTGGAGAAGAGAGACCCGCAGCTCAACGCAAATGGGCTTGCTGGTCATCACCAAGGCTGGATCACAGGGGACAAGGTGAACTGTGTTTTGCTAAGACACTCACATGCAGCATCTAAAGACAGAGGCATTTTAGCCTTGGACGCTTGGGGATAGCCAGGCTCACCGAGCCGGGGACTGGAACTGAGTAACTGGGAAAAGATGGAAATAGTGGGAGGTTTCTTTGTTTGTTTGTTTGTTTTTAAGGCAGGAAAATTCCAACCAAGGCAAAGAACCTTCCAAGTCTATTCCCTGGCTTCAACTACTTTTAAAAACCTACAAGTCAGTACAGACTGATACACAGTTGCTCTGACATTTAGTGGGTTCAGTCCAATTCCCGGGAAGTTAATTTTCTTAATTTAGAAACTGCTAATCGGCATAGCAGGCCAAGGTCCACATCTGGTGGGTGTATTTTCTTGGCATATTTTGACATATAAAAAATGAGTTGCCAGTATTTAAAAATTAGGATATCGCACAAAAATATCTTAAGTTGCCACATGTCCTAATTTCAAAATGGCTGGCACCGCTGGGCATTCAAGCTCACAGCAGCTGTGTCGAGTTGAATGGCAGCTTCTTCAGCCGGGGCCTGTGCCCTCTGGGCCCCCCAGGCCCCCACACCCCCGAGAGGGCCGCACACCCCTTGGGCTTTCCTTATGACCCCTCCCCTTTCCATCATTTCTATCACCCGCCCAGATCGCTGAGCAGGCAAAAGGAGCCAGGCCACGGATCTTGTGCTCCAGTTCCTTGTTTTTCCTCCTCCCTCTTCTTCTACTGATTTGCTTTATTTGAAAGGTAGAGTTATAGAGAAAGAGGGAGAGGATCTTCCATCTGCTAGTTTACTCCCCAAATGGCCACATGTATAGGGCTGGGCCAGGAGGAAGCCAGGAGTCAGGAACTCCATCCGGGTCACCCACAGGGGTGGCAGGGGCCTAAGCACTTGGGCATCTTCTGCTGTTTCCCTGGGAGCATTAGCAGGAAAGCTGAATCAGAAGTGGAGCAGCTGTGACTCATATGGGATGCTGGCCTTGCTGGCCTTAACCTGCTAAGCCTCCATGCCAGCTCCAAGTTCATTGTTTTTAAACTCTGTGTTGTCAATCATTCCTACAGTCATAAAACCACCCGATTTTAATGGATTTCAACCAGAAACTTTATTTTTTAAACACTTATTTTTATTGAAAAGGAAGGAGAGAAAGAGATATCTTCCATCTTCTGGTTCATTCCCCAAATGGTCACAACAGCCAGGTCTGGGCCAGGCCAACAGGAGCCGGGAATTCCATCCACGTCTCCCACGTGGGTGCAGGGGCCCAAGTGCCTGAGCCATCTTCCGCTGCTTTCCCAGCACGTTAGTAGGGGTCTGGATCAAAAGTGGAGGAGCTGGGACTCGAACCAGCACTCTGGTTTGGGACACTAGAGTGGCGAGCAGCAGCTCAATCTGCTGGGTCAGAACACTGGCCACTCGACCACAGACTTTGAAATGCAGTGAGCTGCCTGCGCTGTGGCGTAGTGGGTAAAGCCGCCACCTGCAGTGCCGGCATCCCATATGGGTGCCAGTTTGAGGCCCAGATGCCCCATTTCCCATCCAGCTCTCTGCTGTGGCCTGGGAAGGCAGTGGAGGATGGCCCAAGTCCTTGGGCCCCTGTGCCTGCATGGGAGACCCCGAGGAAGCTCCTGGCTTCGGGTCGGCGCAGCTCTGGCCATAGCGGCTATCTAGGGGAGTGAACAAGTGGATGGAAGTCTCTCTCTCTGTCTCTCCTTCTCTCTCTGTGTAACTCTTTCATGTAAAATAAATAAATCTTTTTTTTTAAATAAAAGCAGTGAAAATGTCAGAGTGCAAAATTCACAGTAAACACTGTTCCATGGACCTTTTGTGTATCTATGAATTAGACACAAAAATAATGCAAGTGAGGGAAACCGTTGTGGGTGTGGTACCTCTGGAAGCACTCGCGAGATGTCAGAAAGGAAGCGGTATGGAGTTGGGGGGCCGATGTGGAGGTGGGAGGGTGTTTCAAACAAAAGCAACAGCCAGCCAAGGAGACATGTGTGTGTGTGTGTGTGTGTGTGTGTGTGTGTGTGTGGAACTTCCTGTCGGCTGCCTGCACAGGAGAGAAGCAGGGTGGGGAAGACCTTGCAGGAAGAGAGAGGAAACCCTCAGGCTCTTCTGCAGGAGACTTCAGTGTATCTGTGAAGTAGGGGCCGATTGCCAGTTATCTCAGACCTTCCAGTAGGGTCAGGCACTGCCAAGTCAAATGTAATCCCCACAGCCTGAAGAGGTGAGTGTTACCCTGATACACATGGAGGCTAGTGGCTGGCTGATGGTCAGGACCAGAGCAGAAACCCCGCACAGTCTACTCATAAAGCCACACGGTGCTCATTACAGTTTTTTGGAGAGGTGCATCAGCGTGTGTAATAAGTACAATGTTGAAAGTAGATTAAATTGTCATGTGTTGGGGCGGGCATTGTGACACAGGTTACGCCTGACCCAGCTCCTTGCTAATGGGCCTGGAAGGCAGCAGGTGATGGCCCAAGTACTTGGGTCCCTGCCACCAACGTGGGAGGCCTGGATGGAATTCCGAGCTCCGACTTCTGACTGGTTTAAGTCCCGGCCATTGTGGCCATGTGGAGAGTGAACCAGTGGATGGGAGACTTCTTTGTCTATCCTTCTCTCTGTCACTCTATCTTACAAATAAACAAACACATACATACACACATCTTTTAAAAAATTTTAAACATTTTTAGTAAGATTTATTTATTTGAAAGGCATAGTTACAGAGAGAGAGAGAGAGAGAGATCTTCCATCTTCAGGTTCACTCTCCAAATGGCTGC